AGGTTAATATCCCAGTGTCTAACCCATTGTGCCACCAGGGCTCCATTGTGACATACACAAAAACCAAACCCAACCAAACCCAGCCATGGAGTCGGTTATGACTCACAGCGACCTGCTATAGGGTTTCTGAGCAGGGAAACTGGGAACACACAGCCTCATCTTTCTCCCTTGGAGTGGCCAATGGTTTAAAGTGTCAACTTTGTGGTTAGCAGTTCAATGCTTATTCTATAGCACTACTTGTTGTTGTTGTTAAATGCCTTACAATCGGTTCTGACTCACAGTGACTCTGTATAATGTTTCCCAGGAGCGGCTAGTGGGTTTGAACTCCACTCCTGACCTTGCAGTTCAAACCAACCTTGCGGTCCAGTGCCTGATCCCCCAGCACCACACCAGGTTCCTTAATTTGTAAATTTAAGATTCCATTTTTTAGTGAGGGAAATTGTTTCTTGTAAAGACCAACAGGTGGCAGTGTTATTTCAATAAAATGCAGGGAGAAAAGCAAACTTTCACTATTAGAAAACTGCAAACAGGAATCATTGCAATGAAACAAAATACGATTGGTTGAATACAAAACCGATTTTCTACAATATAAACCATCACTTAATTAATAATAAAAGCATTAAAAAAAGCAAACGAGAAAAGAAAACTGTAACCAGTTAAGTGCTTGACTGCTAACTGAAGGCTAGTGGTCTGAACCCACCCAGAGTGCCTCAGAAGATAGGCTGGTGATCCGATTCCAAAAGGGCATGACCTCAAAAAGCCTATGAAGCAGTTCCACTCTGCACACACGGGGGTGCCATGACTCAGAATGGGCTTTGATAGCTACTGTGAGTTGGAACAGACTTGATGGCACTTAACAATAACAACAGTAACAACAACAACACAGTTTCTGACTCCACGACACTTAATAACAACAACAGTCTCTCTGGAGCCCTGGTGTGGCTCTGTAGGATAAGCACTGGACCATAAGTTCAGTATGAATCGCATGGTCATTGGTTCAAACCCACCAACCGCTCCTTGGAAATCCTATACAGGGTTTCGGTGAGTCAGAACCGACTTGATGGCTCTTAATAACAACAGTCTCTCCATTAACAATGATATTCTATTGAAACGGTGTCGCTCAAATTCAGGTGTCCTGCTTAAGTCAACAAATATTTGTTGACTTCTTGTGACAGAAACGTCCATCTGTCATCAGCAAGTAGAAAAACCTTTACCTACGACTGCGTGACCTTCCTATGTGTGGAAAGCAACATGAGACCAATAAACTAACTGATTTAAATGCTATGGTTCTCATATACTATGTAAGGAAAATCATTTACAGCCAGCATTTAATTGTGAGAAGCCAAAGTTTCCCCAACAAGGCCCATAGGTCATGAGAAATTAAGAGAGTGCCTGAGTTGATAATATCTTGAGGTCAAATATCACATAGTTTCCCTCCTACTGACATTTATTAAAGTTATGAGGTCAAGAGTGCCAACTGCTTTGGGACAGAGTTACAGAATACAGAATGGAGCTCTGATGTTACAGCTGGGCCTTCAAGAAACACGTCATCAGAAAGCAGTAGATAGTTTCTGAATGCAAACCTCTGCTTCATGTTGTTTAATGCCACGGAGCCAGTTCCGATTCCCAGTGGCCCTCTGTAGGGTTTCCAGGTGTGGCGCTGTAGGATAAGCACTCGACCATAAAGGTGATTTGAACAGAAAGGTCAGTAGTTCAAACTCACCTTTCACTCTTCATAGAAACCCTACACAGGGTCGCTATGAGTTAGAACTGATTTGACAGCACTTAACAACTATAACAAAATAGAATTTGTTTAGGTTTCCACGGAGTGGCTGGTGAGTTTGAACCATCGACCTTGCGGTTCAAACGGCTTTGCAGTCTAGCACATTAACCCACAGCACCACACCAGGAGTCCAACATAGGGTTTCTGAGGCTGTGAATCTTTATGGGAGTGCAAAGCATCATCTTTCTCCCAAGGAGTGACTGATGGAATCGAACTGCTGACCTTGTGGTTAGTAGCCCAATGCATAATCCCAATGCTACCACGGTATAGACCTTAAACCTCTGGTATAGACCAAAACAAGCAAACAAACAAACAGTCACCATCCAGTTACTCCTGACTTATAGTGGCCCTATTGTTGTTAAAGTGCCGTTGAGTTGATTTCGACCCATAGCGACCCTGTATAGGGTTTCCAAGGAGCGGCTGGTGAGCTTGAACCTCCGACACAGTAAAACTGCTTCATAGGGTTTTCAAGGTTGTAAATCTTTACGGAAGCAGACTGACAACACATCTTTTCCCCGTGGAGCTGTTGGTGGGTTTGAACCACCAACCTTTTGGTTAGCAGTTAAGTGCTTCACCACTGTGCTAGCAGGGCTTTGCCCTCTGTTAATACTCACTGAAAAACGCCAAAGGAACCCTATGTAGGGTTTCCAAGATTGTAAATCTTTCTGGGAACAGTCTCATCTTTCTCCCACGGAGTAGCTGGTGGGTTTGAACCACTGACCTTGCAGTGCTCAGCACCTAACCCACAATACCACAAGGGCTCCTAATTAATAACAAGAGCTCTAATAAATGACAGCTGTGTGGTGTTGTAGGATAAGAACTGGATTGGTAACCGTTAGGTCGGTGGTTCAAACCCACCAGCTGCTCCTCGGAAACCCTATACAGGGCCATTATGGGTTGGAACCTACTCAGTGTCACTTCACAACAACAGCAACACCGACGTCACTAATTTGTTTCTTTCCCTCTTACTTGTCAGAAGTGAAAAAGGGAACTATGAAATGATCAGTAGGAGGACAGTGGAAAAAAAAAAAGATCAAGGACACAAAGGTTTTGGATAATGAAGGTCTAAATAAAGGAGCTCAGGTAGTGTAGTGGTTACAAATTGGGCTGTGAACCACAAGGTCAGCAGTTTGAAACTACCAGCTGTTCCATGGGAGAAAGATGAGGCTTTCTGCTCCTATAAAGATTTACAGCCTCAGAAACCTGGTACAGGGTCACTATGAGTCGGAACAGATTCCACGGCAAACAGCAACAAATAAGGGTCCAAGCCAACATGTCGTGTGTCGTGAGGTTTTCTGGGAACAAACTACCTTGAGAGGTGAACCTTTGGAAGTGAAACACTTAAAAGGCTTCTTGTCCTCGGAGAAGCCGTCTTCTGGCATCTTCTGACGCTTCTCAGCAGCCTGTGCTCTCCGCCTTTCGATTTCCTCCTTTAGCCTCCTCTTCTCTTCCTGGGAGAGAAAGAGCAGGTATAAAGGTGAACGACATTTGCTTCAGGTTAAAAGGAGAAGACAGAGCTCTGGAGGGGCAGAGGACTGCTCGAGAGTGGAGGACCCAGGTTCTAGGCTGGGTCACTTTTTTCCCTGCTGGCCTCTGAGCCCAGGCGTCCACTACCTGGTTTTACATTTTGCATCTTCCCAAACAGGCCACCTTGGACATGCTACATATGTCCTCAGTGCCTCCGTTTCTTCATCTGTATAATGGGGACACAAACTAAAAACCAGTTGCCATCAAGATGATTGTGACTGAGGGTGACCTCATGTGTGTCTGTAGAACGAACCATGCTCTATAGGGTTTGCACTGGCTGATTTTTCTGCACTAGATTGCCAGGACTTTCTTCCAAGGTGCCTCAGTGTGGACTCCAACTGCTAGCCTGTCAGTTAGCAGCTGAGTGTGCTAACTAATGATTTTCACCATTCAGGGACTTTGGGAATCATAACAAACCCAAAACCTTACTGCTGTTGAGTCAATGTTGACTTACGGCTCCCATAAAGGACAGATTAGAACTGCCCGAGAGGGTTTCCAAGGCAGTCATCTTTACAGAAGGTCGGTTGACAGGGTGGTGGGTGGTGGGTAGGCAGAGTAAAATCCTGTCTTGTACAATCTGGAAAATGTAAAGCCAGTGAGAAATATGACTTTTCACATAAACTCTCTCATTTGTCTTCTCAGTCCCCCTGGAAGTTGGTGTCATGGAGATCATATTAATAATTGGAAGGTCAGTGTCCAGTGAGTTGACATGAGGAGGAGGAGGATGGCGGCCATCATACTGAGCACTCTTCTAAGCATCCTCTTGTGCCACCTCATTGAGTCCTCCCCGACGCCTTCCTAAGTGGGTGGTGGTGCACACTGGTTAAGCACTTGGCTAAGCAAAAGATGGGAAATCTGCTTCTATTAAAAATCCCCCCACTCACTGCCACGGAGTTGATTCTAACTCATATCTACCCTAGAAGCTGAGTAGAATTGCTGCTTATGGTTTCGGAGACAGTAAATCTTTATGAGAGCAGACAGCCTCATTTTTCTCCCCCTGAGCAGCTGTTGGATTTGAACTGCCGACCTTGAGGTTAACAGTCCATGATTACACAGCCTTGGAAACCCTATAGGGCAGTTCTACCCTAGCCTGTAAGGTTGTTATGCGTTGGAATTAACTAGGTGGTAGTAGGTTGTCTGCTTAGAGCTCAGATTCAAAGGTACTGCCTCAATGGATGGCTTTCTGAGAGACTTGTGCAGTCTTTTATAGTTGTCAAACTGGACGCTGTCAAGCAGAGGAGAATGTAGAAGGATCCTGTGTTTAGACCAAACTATATCCTTGGTCCACTCCAGTCATGAGTTCATACTTTCCCTTCTGCCTTCATGGGTCCCTTTCTCTTGTAAGGAATAATAGTATCAGTGGCCTTTACCAGGCCTCACGAATCCAGTTATCTCTGTCATCATTAGAACAATCCAGCCAAGGAGAGATTATTTTACAGATAAGGACAACAAGACTCAGTGTGTATCAGAAACACTCTCCCAAGACCCCAACTGGTAGGTGGCAAAGTTAGGATCTGAGCAGCTCTATCATCCCAAATTATTTCTCACCAAAGGATCATTGGAAGTCAAGGTTGGAAGAAACCTGGAAATAATGAATTCACTCTTTCCACGCAGCTCAAGACTTTCTATAAAGGTCATAAAGCCATCTAAAGTATGGTTGCATATTTTGAACGAGGGGCGCTCACTGTCTCATAAGATCAGCAAGCAAATTTCTAGGCTCAGAGTGAAAGAAGTTGGACTCAGAACTGATTCTATACATATCAGTTGTAGCTAAGTGCTGTCGAGTTGGTTCTGACTCATAGCGACCCTGTATAGGGTTTCTGAGGAGCGGCTGGTGAGTTTGAACAGCCGACCTGGCAGTCCAGGGCTTTATCCTACAGCGCCATTCCAGGAACTTTAAATAGGTCAGCCAGAGTGCTCCTTAGAAGTGAGGAATGGGAGATTTAGTTTCTTTTAGATATGCTATCAGGTGGGATCTTTCTTGCTTGGTAAAGTAGAGAGTCAATGAAAAAAAGGAAGACCCTCAAAGAGATGGATTCACACCGTGACTGAAGCACTGGGCCCAACAGATTTTGAGGGTAGTGCAGGATCCCGTAATGTCTTGTCAGTTGCAGGTAGGATTGTATGAGTCAGACCAGACTCATCCACCCCATCAGCGACTTCAAACAAGTCACTCCAATTGTTTCATTCCTTTTTGTTTATTTTTAGTATATCAAAGGACAATAATAACTTGCCCAGTATGAGAGGAAACAATGCACTTTGTAAACTGTAGTAACAGAAGTTGCAGTTGTGACAGGTACAGGGTGAGAGGAAGAGGGTAGGGTAGGAACTAGGCAGTTAGCCCATGGAGACCCCACATCAGGGGGAAAGGACTCAGCGCCTGGGACCATGGTAGAGAGACCACCACCAGGTGCGAGGAAAACAACCGACTGCAAAGGGAAAGACCCTAACGGCCAAACCACGGAGCAGAATCAGACAATCAGAGAAACAGTCACCAAGGATACAGAAAGGGGTAGCACTCCATTTCCAAAAAGCCTGCACACCTTTACTGAACATCAAATAAATATTCCTCCGTTTTATTAAGATGTAGTCAGTGAAGTGGGATGTCAGACTTGCCCCTGGAGGAGGGCATCTGGGACCAGGAAGTGAAAACGGAACTTAATGCTCAAGCCCCTGACTCTAAGGGGTCTGTCCTCACTTGCGAGGTGGATTTGTCCTCACTCTTCTGGAACGTTCTCTGCTATGATAAACTTGGGCTTGCTAGTCTGTCTCTTTCTGACCCCGAACCAGGTAAGTCTAGAGCATCCCACGCTGTGAAGTTGACAAGTTGTTTAAGAATATTTTCATATGTTGAGTCAAAATTTGCCTCCTTGGAACATTGGCTGGTGAATGTGGGTCTATCTTACAAGGTTGAACAAAGTCATTTGTTCCCTCTTTTAACCAATCATTGCAGGGCTCCTTCTGCTTATCAAGGTACTGTGTTGGGTTCTGGACCTGTCTGCAACATCCATGTCTGTCTACTTTTTCATTACAAACAAAACAAAAACCCCAAAAAACAACAAAAAAAATCTATTCAGAAATATTCTCTATAAAAACTCTCCAAATATTAAAAACCAACTGTACTGTGTTCCTTAGTTCTTGTTACTAATTTGCAGCTCTGTTCACCTTTCTTCCCTGAGGGTTCTTCACTGGAGTCTAGCCCAGTGGACTGGAGGTGTTAAAACTCCAGCTGCTCCTCTGATTAACCATGAGACCCTGGGAAAATTCCAAATTCCATGTGCCTCAGTTTCCTCATCTATAAAACGGGAATGGATAAGAGTACGCACATGAAAGTTGAGCTAGGATTTGATGAATTGATATTTACAAGGGTTTTAGACCCTTGCTCAGCACACAGGTAGTGGATGACACCTAACAACTGATCACTAAGCACTCATGCTGAAAGGAGCAGCAGCTTTTCACCAGGGAAAGATGCCCACGCTGCAACTTTCAGTCCTGGAGGACACTGTTAGGGTTGAGCCCGCGCCTGCGTTCTTACCTCCTCCCGGAGTTTGCGCTCCGCCTCCTCTTGCTTCTTCTTTTGCTCTTCCTCCTCTAGGACCTTCCTCCGCTCCTCCCTCTTCTTCTTCAACTCCTCCAGCTCCAGGGCCGCCTCTTGTTGCTTCTGCTTGAGCTTCTCGAACTCCTCACTCTCCGTCTCCCCACGCCGGCGCCGCAGCTCTTCCAGGCGTTTGCCCGCCTCCACCGCATCGGCCTCCTTGGGCTCTGCGCTTGGCCTCCCTCCGCTGTGGCTGGGGGGATGCCAGAAGGGGTTATAGGTAGGGTCACTCAGGAGACAGAAAGGGTTTACGTGGAGGGCTCGGATAGCCCACTGAGGGATACGCATAGGGGTTTAGATGCAGAATCTGGGCAACCCTTCAGCATGCGCACGATGGAGGGACATCTGGAGGAATTGCAATCAGACCAAAACTCGCCCTGCTACAGATTCTAGATCCCAGGTGAGAGGGTGGGCCTGGAACCCCAGGGCTCAGCAGGGAGCCCCGTCCTGCCTGTACCCCAGGTTTCCTCAGCTGTAAAATGCAGCAAATACTGTTTATTCTAGCTACAGCTGCAGGCTCATTCTAGGGACCCTCCCATGAGACTATGAGTTTACTGTATGAATGTTCATTTACATATCATTATAAATATTAGTTCTCACCAGAAAAGGTCCAAAAATTGCTGTTAGAATGAGTTCTGAAATCTCTAAGTGGCCCTCTAGCCCGCCCCCCTCAGTTTCTGGTTCATTTGAGTGTGTGGGTAAGGGGGCAAGGGAAAGAGAAGCTTAAAGGATGGGACACAGTCTGGATAAGGGGTGTTTGCTGCTGCAGAGTTGGCCCCCAATTTATGGTCACTTCAAACACATGGGATTGTACTGTTGTGATCCCTAGGGTTTCATTGACTGATTTCTGGAAGTAAGTCACCAGGTCTCTCTTTCTGGTCTGTGGCAGTCTTGAAGGTCCTCTGCCACTTGTTTAGCATCACCGTAATACACATGTCTTCACAGTGGACCTCAAGGTGGTGTGTATGAGGCATGCTCACCGGAAACCAGACCAGGTCTCCCACGTGGAAGGTGAGGGTTCTGTCCCTGACCTGCCATGCGCAGAAGACACAGAAGTCATCTGTCTGTGCCCAGCTTTGCCTGAAGTGTGACCCCAGTGGCTGACCTCTCTGGCAGATGCAGTTAGTTACCTATTGTTGTTGTTAAGTGCCATCAAGTCGGTTCCAACCTACAGCGACCCTATATAGGGTTTCGAAGGGAGCAGCTGGTAAGCTTGAACCTCTGACCTTACAGTGCAAACCAACTTTGTGCATTAACCACAGTGCCCATTGCAACATACGGATATATTTTTGGAGCTACTCCAAGAAAGTTCTCATGTGTCTATGTCATCACCCATGGCCTCAACTGGCACATTTCCTACTCACTTTGACCCCAAAACTACTGGAATGTACCTTATCAGAATTTAAAATGGCTGCGCAGACTTTGTGATGATGTAGGTTTTATTTCCATCTCACTCTTCATGTTTACATACCCCTTTCATGTTTATGATCTCATTTAATAGTCATGATAATTAGAGGTTGGCAAACGGCTAGGGTTATTGTCCCCATTTTATGAAGAAAGAAACCTTAGATAAAAGAGGTAACCCCCGGGTGGTACAAATGGGTGTCCGCTTCTTAACTATTAATGGAAAGCTTGGCAGTTCCAACCCACTCAGTGGTGCCTCAGAAGAAGGGAATGGTGATCGCAGCATTGAAAACTTGTGGTGGGCAGTTCTACGGGACTGTGAACCACACGGTGGCAGTTCAAACCCACCACCAGCTACTCCTCAGAAACCCTATACAGGGTTGCTATGGGTAGGAACTGACTCAACGGCACTTAAAAACAACAACAGTGGGATTACTGTGGTGTCTTGATGTGGCGCTGCAGGAAAATGCGCTAGACTGCACGGTCAATTTGAGACGCAAGGTTGATGGGTCAAACCTACCAGCTGTTCCTTGGAAACCCTATACAGGGTCGCTATGGGTCAGAACTGACTCGACGGCACGTAACAATTACATGGTGTCAGTGTAAGCTAAATGGACTGATCAACAGCTGCTTTAGTTTTTTTGCTTTAAATGAGAGAAAATAATCTTCCGGAACTTTCAGTAGCTAGAAAGCGGATGAGTCAGACCAGATTTTGCTTCGTCTCTGTTCCAGGCTAGCTCTTGTTTTCATTCTCCCACGTTAATCCAAAGTTTAGTGTGATTTATTATAAAATAATCAAATAAATTGTGTTTGTCTACCTCCTCACCTCTCACCTCATATCTTGAGAGTCTGTGTGGTAGAATCACTACTTCTAAGTTTCTAGAATCCCGTAAAGATTCATAGCCTCAGAAGCTCTGTGCGGGGTTTTTGTGAGTCAGAACCAACTCGACACACACAAGCGGCAGCAGGTCTAGCTAGGTGCCACGATGGCGCAGTTGGTGAGTATTCGGTTGTTATTGAAAGTTTGGCACCAGCTACTTCACAAAAGATGTGGCGGGGTACTTTCTAAAGATTGCAGCCTTGGGCACCCAATGGGGCAGTTCTCTGTCTTAAAGGGTGGCTATGAGTTGGAACTGACTCTGACAATGACTTTT